TAATATACTATACAAATAACTAATTATTTTAATAAATAACTTTTATTTTTGTATATTTACAATTTTTTTGCAAATTTAACATAATTTCCGATTAAAATTTTAATATACGTTAAAAATAATATTTGAAATTTTGAAATCACATACATCCAAGTATTGCATGATATATTATATAAAATTAAAGAATATTATTTCTTATAAAATTGAACATAAGATTAATTTGAAATAATTGGCTTGTTTCTTTGAATTTAAAAGTTACTATAACACAGTATTATGTTTAAAAGAGATGTACGATTTCGATCTTAGTTTCTAAAAAAGTTAGTTTCTTAGTTTCTAATTCACTGTAGAAATAACCGAATTCATTATTGCAACTCGTTTTTTACTACTTATGAAATCAAATGACGATGATTGTTACATTATATTATAGTATAGTGATATGATTTCGAATCAAAATGTCAAGACTCATAAAATATTGTCTCGAGTACTGATTTATTATAAAATATATAAATGTATTACGTTTGCGGAAGAAAAAAATATACAGTAATTTACTCGGCGTGTATGTTGTATAAAACGAGAATGATAATATTTTTGGATAATAAAGGAAAACGTAATGTATACGCGTAAAGATGCATACGTAAAGATTTCTGTTATAGGTTATTAAAAATGTTCACAGTTAAATTCGATTTTATGACCCGCGTCGTCGCCACCGTCTTGTTATGAATCAAAACGCGTGCATATTATAATATTATATAAAAGAGTAGACTATATTATTACTAATATTATCATAATCGTCCTCCTCGCAACACATAAATGTTCACATATTTATGTACAGGTACACACTCACGTGTTTATTTCTCCGAGTTTAAGTGTAATAACTTCTAATGTACAACGAAAATAAAGAATGAATGAACGTACATTTTGACGGTTGGACCGATAACCGGTTCGACCACCTTTTTCTCGTTCAAATGTTGCATATTATACGTATAATAATAATAACACTTTCCAGAGTCGTCTCTAGAACTCGTACGGATCACGTTTGCACCATATCGAATTATACGTTGAATGAAATGTTATTCATTCTTTTTACGTTAAACGTAAATCTATAGTTTTAGATATATTTGCTATGTATCAAAATATAACGACTTGGTCCAGGGTAGATCAAAGAGGATTTCTTTCCTCAGTAAGTAGCCAAATATAAACAACTCCATTTTTATACCTAGTAATAAAGAAAAACAGAAATAAATAAAGTATGATAGTATTACATTGTTTTGTAAAATTTTTAGTTATTAAAAACGCACTTATTAATTTTCCCCCTCTACCGTATACCTGGTAGATATAATGGTATTATCTAAGATTTTTTAATTTAATATCTTCTCTGGCATTCATTGCCTGTTCGGCAGACTTTAAAATGTCTACCCACTATCGTTTAGTGTCGTTGCGAGAAAACTCCCGAAAACTTAAAAGTTCAATGATTGTCATATTATATATGATAAGTATAAATATAAATATATATACCTGTCAATGCATTCATAACACATAAATCATGTATAAGTATTTGAACGAAATCTTGTAATAGCTTTTGGGCAGAATGAAGAATATTTTAATTTAAAGTGGTTTTTCTGTAAATGTTGAAAATCTTACTTTGCGGCTATTTTTCATAAAACATAAATAAAACTTTTTGAACAAAAACCACTTTTAAATTTTTCTAGCAAGTATAAAATAATTTTACATATATATAAGGGTGTCAAAATCCTAAGTGTATTTCTGTAAGCCTGGACAAAGGAATTGTCGATATTTCTTTAAATTCTGAATGTAATCGCTATAGACTAATACATCCCCAAACAGTAGAATATATCAATGATAATTTTGTACGTTCCCGAGGCGTGCGAATACAAATTCCGCGATCGTAATGGACGAAAAGTGTACTGAGACGAACATAGACCCCACCCGATTGAGTTTCTGTTACAGTAAACGCTTTGTGAAAAATGCTTGATAGCAATAAGGCATTTTCGGAATACATACGATGTATGTCTAAATCGATTTGTGTTGTTTCGAATTTTAACCTCACTCGTGCACACAACCGCAATATCGTATTGATACGTAATTTGACATATTAATAGTGTTTTACACATTGCGCGGAACCCACGGGGGGGGGGGTTCAACGTAGCAAAGTGTATGCGCGTTCTCGTGTCTTCTAAGCGTAAAACAAACCGTTTTCACGTTCGAAGACGGTAAAACGAATGTTAATATACACTAACATGCGTACGGTGTGCATCACGTCCGTCAAAGTGAATAAAAATTATATCGACCGGTATACACGCGTTAGGTGTACAAGTATATATCTCAGCAATTCGTTTCCATTTTTATGGAGGCGCGCGCGCGCGCGCGCCCGTCTTTCCCGGGCCGCGTGTTATCCTGTGCGCGCCATCAAAACGTATCTCTCCCGTCCGTGATGCTCGTCACGGATATCGTGTAATGTAATACACCGTTGTTGTTGTCATAATTAAAAAAAAAAATAAATAAATAAACAAATAAAATAGAAAACGCCGAGCCAAACATTCGAGCCTAGTCGTCGTGAACCACGCGGGACGTCTCGGTTTTATGCCCTCGCCGTGCGACATGTACGCCGTGTGTCGAAAAAACCTAGTAGGTCGTCCGACGGCGTAGTCCACATTTATAACCGTCGCGCACAGTATTATTAGCGTTTAGACCACGGCGCGTATAATATACGTGAATGTATATCATATACGAGCAGTCGAAGTAGCGTTATAAGGTACGTTCTCGAGAGTTTTTACCGATAAACATCAACCGCGCACCAGTGGTATACATACTCGTACGTACATGGTTTTAAAATATAGTGGCTTATTATGCTACATTTGAATGCACACGTATTAATTAACTTTTAAATCGTGTTATATTATTGCCCAGCTTCACCGAAGTTGCCAATAAAAACATATATTTATCTGTCTACAATATTTCCGTGATCGTTCGTAATTTGTTCTTTTTTTTTTTTTTTCGAATTTTAAATTTCGACGTAAAGTGTCATTGAATGTATAAATAGGTATTATAGCAGTGTACTAAAAGACACGGGTACGTATTAATTTCGCCTCGTTTACCTGTCTTATTTCGGAATACACTCGCGTTGTCCGAGTCAACATTACTTTAAAATATGTACGATTTTTCCTCGACCAAGTTTTCGATTTAAACGTATAAAATAAACTTTTTTTTGTACAGTTTAATTTACAAAAAATTAATAAAAATGTTGATTTACTGCGCTAAAAAGATTCAAATGATATTCCACTTCCTGCAATACAAAATTATATCTATTTATGTTGTAAAACGATATGGTTTCTATATGATTTGTTATACAGTTAAGTAAAAACGACTTACTATTATATGTTATTATATGTTTAGTCATTTTTTTTTTTGTTCTCGTTTACAGAGTTACATACTATACTATCATTGAATTTTGTAAATTCTTAAAATGAATTTATATGAATCCAACGGAAGTTGTGCTTCAAAATTATTAACTGTTATCATGACTTTTTCCGTATAATACTTAAGTGTATACGAAAATAATAGGTTTTTTAAAAGATGTATAATTCATATTCCTTAAAAATACGTCACTAACATTAGATGTATGGATATAAATATAATTTAATTATGAACAGTCATCGTTGATGCATCTTCGCTGTTAATCACGGTATCCATTTGCTAATTTGCATGCAACAAATAAAATTTTTTTTTTTTTTCATTAATATTGTTTCTTTTCAGTTAGTATTATAATTGTACACTACAGCTACCGTTAACCGCTGTAGTTGTTCGTGTAAAAGTGTACATAAACATGATTCTATATATATATATATGTTTAATAAGTTATTTATTTATTTATTTAATGTATTAGGCGCACAATATACGTATTATACTAGTATTTATGCTTATATTGCGGCACGTCTGCGCGTCGATTTATCGACAAACGCGAAATCGTAAATAACGTATACACGCGCGTTGAACGGGCCATACGAGATATATTGCGCGGTAGTTACGAATGGTTTAACCACCCGCCGACTTGTATATGCATAATAATATAATAAAAATACGCGTACTCTCGCGCGCGTACGTATGTGTACATGTGAGCATATGTAATATATTTAAAAGGAAAAAGCTACATCACACACTCGGGCCAGTGTGTTTTATGTGCCGATAAGTCTATGTGTATATGTATGTTTCTCGTATATAATATATAATTTAAACGTTCTATCCGGTGTTTACCATTATAATATGTACACGTAGCAGTATATACGAGGATCGAGAAGCATGACATCACAATTTGTACTCGAAAACATCAGGGAACCGTTTTGGGTATCGATAATCTAACGTTTTTCCGTATTACCCTCAAAGAACATACTAACTTATATCATATCTACTTCATTGGTTGGAAGTTTTTTCTTGGGTTTTCTTTCTTCATTTTTATCCGTACGTCAATAATGCGGTATAAAGGACTCATGGCTATATAATAACTTACAGCGAGGGACCCTTAAACACATCGCTCCGTTATAACCAATATTGGTTTATTATAATCGTCATATTAGTCGAAGAAAGGTAGAGACAATAAAACAAATGGATATACTTGGTTGAGATATAACGAATATAATTAGGTAAATAAAAAATAAGCGTATATTTGTAATAATGTGTGGTACAAGTATAAGACAGCAAGAGTTTATAATATTTGAATCTTATTAATTTATCAAAAATAAATGGTTTGACTTAAAATGTATAAAAACAATATATATTTATCTATGTTATTTACGTGCAACGAAAAGAAATAAAATATAAAATAAAAGTTTAATTTTTAAACTATTTCATTCTGTCTAGGAATCGAATTTCGTAATTGAAAATTACTGCCCTAAGCGAATTCATATGGTTTGCTTTAAAAATCTTTTAGACAATCATGATATGTTATACAATTATTTACAATTAAATGTTATGTTTGTTTGTTATAGACTGAAGTATTGCAATGTCGGGGATGCTCAGATCCAATTAAAGATAGATTTTTATTGAAAGTTTCCGACAAGATTTGGCACGTATCTTGTCTGAGGTGTTGTGTATGCAATCTGGTTTTAGAGGATGAACCATCGTGTTTTATTAAAGACGATTCAATTTACTGTCGTCAGGACTATGCCAGGTAAATCATTTTAATATTTATAATAATACAGTGATGGCCTACATTGAATTTAAAACATGACGATCCATAATATATAAATGTAAAATCTAATGATACCTATGTCCAACGATACTGATAATTAAATTATAATAAATTAAAATAATTTTTTTGTTACCATACGCAGTTTTAGTATATTTTAAATGCTCTACACTGTAGGATATGGTAAATATTGAAATCGATTGAAATTTAAGTCTCATGATTTTGTTCATATTCCTCAGAATCAATTGCGTATTGATGGTGGAGGTTCTGGGGGTTTCTCCCCCCCCAAAAAAAAAAAAATATTTGAAAACGTAAATTTTTTAAACATATCAGTAATACAATAATTTTAGTTTGTTTATTCAATAAATTATTAAAGTATAATGAAAAAAAAAATATATATATATATGTATAAAAAAGTATTAATATGGCTAATAATTAAATTGTAATCGGATAATAATAATAACAATCGACCGCACGGCACTCACACACACATGGTATATAAATAATCTGATGTGGATAAATTATCGGTCGATAAGAATATCAATATCTTAGTCCGTGACTGTCACGTTTTGTCAGTTGTCAGTATGCACTATGCATCTATGCGCAATATAAAATACGATTAATAAAATCATACATTTAATTTATTTATTAATTATTATCATTATTATTTAGTATTTAAACAATAAGTTGATTAAGAACATTTTATACTAATTTATAAAATTATTTCACTATTAGGTATGACAAAAATGTATTTTTAAATATGCCACTGCTCAGAACTATGAATAATATTTTTAATAATTATTGAAAACCGCAGTTGGACGCGGTAAACACTAACCACACATTTTACTGCACGCGTGTACTAGTATATATATATAGGTTAGCAAAACTATATTATTATGTGACTTTGCTCATTTACTGTGAATATTAAACAAAGAAACTCTTCCGTTTGGGACCAAATGCATAATTTCCCTAATGCAATGTAAACCTGTCCATAATTCATTAATGAGCATAATTAGAGGTCTGAAACCGGTGAACAATTCAAACAGTATAATAATGATAAAAAAAAAAAAAAATTAAAAAAAAACACTTCTGCAATTATTTATTTATTGAAATCAACACTAGCATAGCCAAACAATTGGTCACGCTACGCCCCATTGTCACTCAGTTACTTGACGAAAAAATAAAAATAAAAATAATGTTTATCGGTGTTTTGATGTGCCTATTGTAAAACGATCTGCTGCACGAACGAGGAGCTGCGTTATACACCCGTGTATAAAGTACATACACACTACTCTATTCAATCTCTCGCGTTGCTACAGGAGGTTATAATTAACGCCTCTTTACAGGCAATTATTATTGGCCAAAGTGTGAAGGTGTCCGATGCTCTTGTACGCCGTTGACATTATTGTTTATTTAAAAACGTATGACCCCCGTTGCCGCAGAACTGGCCGAATTTTCAACATGACACGGGTAAATATACCCATACACCCATTATATATATATACATGCACTCGTATGTACGCGCTCGCGTGTGAGTGTGTACAATATACATACTAGTTTTTTTTTTTTTTTTTTTTCACTTCTCCGACGAGTGATTTATTGGAGGTCCCGCAAGTCACAGAAGCGGCCAGTCGTATAAATCATAAAATCAGACGTGTTTTAGGATACCCGTTGAAGATACCGTGCGCACAATACTTCACACCTGTTAATGTGACATTATGACTTCTGTAGACTAGGATGATTTTTTTGACATTCCACCTCCACCCCCACGATCCAACGTTCTTGTATAAAATAACCAAAACTAATCGTATAAGGGCTTCATGGTGTCTTGTCCTATTTGTCTCTAGATTTTCTAAGGAGTTTTTTTTCTTTTCTTTTTTTTTCTTTTTTTACTTCTAGATTTGTCAGCATATAGAGAAAATATAATAACAACAATTAATATAAAAAAAAAAAAAAAAAAAAATAATGAAAATAAATAAATAAAAAGCACGAATAGAAACACTGAACAACGAGTTGTTTAGGTCCTGAGTACGTATATACGTAACGCATTATACACGTACTTTGCTTTGTGTTGGGATATTCTAAATATGCAATAACAACTTATGTATAACATTGTATAATAATAATTATGCTCGCACACCATTAAGCAATATTCATAAGTTTATCATTTCTCGTTTATGTATTGCGTACCAACATGTTTACGTCTCATTCGGTTTATACACAATAATTAAATTACAATAAATTATGAAGTTAATAAAATAAACGTTTTCGGTTGATCCATTAAATGAACGATGATTTTCCGCGCGATAAATTATTTTTAACAAATTTACTATTTACAACATCTTCCGCTACCTACACGAAAACCGAGACAACTGCCAATATTGTCACTATATTGGCTTATAAGTGTGTGTGTGTAAGTATGCATGTGTCTACCCACTTGGTTTTTAAAAATGTATACAAACAAAACAAAAACATAAAAATCGAGAACTTGAAATTACGCTCGTTACGTATGTATAAAAACTACACGGGGCCCAATTAAACGGCACGTACCATCCAATAAATCTGCCAGTCGGTATGGTAGGACAACAGAATTAATTTCTACCTACGCCAGTGGTGGTCTTCAGTAGGACTGTCTTTAAGTTTATTATTATTATTACACAGTTGTAAGTATTTAAATGAAAAAAATTACGAAAAAATATCATTTACTACACATTAACGTCAGTACGTATATCGACGTTTATTTTCTACACGACATTTGGTTACGAATAATATAGCTTATTCGTTTTGTGTACGCTTTTTATTTTTTTTTTTTTTATTTATTCTTAAAAATTCGATTTATAAAGTTAAAATGTATAACATATATTATATTATTTGCAGGAATTTATTTTTTTTTTTTTTATAATCAATTCTTAATCATTTCGAATTTCGAAAAAATTATACAATTATCAAATATAACGTGCAGTAGTAACCATGACCAGAGCCATGAAAGTATGCATGCTTCGCTATCAGTTGTCACAATAGTTATTCGTTGGACTAAATATTGTTTAACCAGTATTAAACTTGGACCTAAGTGAGTGAAAAATAAACCATTTTTTTATTGGGTTAATTTGACTTCCGGAGTGATTTCGAACCGTATCAGTTTCTTATTGTAAAACTACTAAGGTAAGAATACGAAACAGATCGGAATAAGACTGAACAAAATATCGTTTGGTATTTAGGTTTCTATATTTCTATGTCAATCGCGGTTTGAAATAAATATAATGCGATTTCAGATTACGGTGTTATTTGGCTGAAAAGATATTTCTACTAATTAAGTTAAAAATGTATGATATTTTTGATTTTTTTCGTTTAACAAAATGAAAATTTCATATAGTTCACTTTTTAAAATAGTTTACCTTTGTTTCATTATTTTCGGTTTGATAACTCGATGATTTTTGTAAAAAGTTGTTTACATCCCTAGTTTTTTACGTTGTTTTATTGAGCAAATTAAACACGATAGTTGACCACATAATATAAAACACATATAGATATACAAAAAAATAGTGTTATGTTATAATGTTAACCGTTAAGTGAACGGGTTAGTCAAAATCGTGGTGTTGACGAACTTTCATGGCGAATAAAGTCGCGTATTTCTGGGAATAATCTTCGGTTGCGGATAAAAAATCGGATTCGATAATTCTTCGGTGTTGATGACCTCAAACAAGTTACGTTTCGGGGTCAAGCCTTCGCGTGTTTCGATCAATACGAATTATTACATTAATAATAATAATGATAGTGGAAAAAAAAATTGATCGTAATATTGGTCGATGGCCGCAAGGTCGAGTGGTTCACACTTGTATGGAACGTAGAAAACACATCGCGGCCGGTGTCCCTGGAGAGGAGAGGAGATGACAAATGATTCCTCAAACGTCCGATCGCATACAATAAAGAATAAAATAAAAAAACAAAATAAAATAAAAATATACCGAGAACATGCCTACTCATCCGGAGTGTTTATATTATTTGTACAAAGGTTACACACACGAGTTGTATATGTACGCGAGAGAAATCAAAACCCACTGTATAGTTATGTACGTATGGAGAAGGGTTCCTATATGTAGCGTAATGTGTCGGTAGTTGGTGATATATACTACGCGCCGACTAAGATTGATTTATCCGGACCGTTTTTTTACTGTCATTACCAAACGCGTCAACATTTCTTTTTATTATTATTATTATTACTATTACTATTATTATCATCATTGTTGTTAAAACATTTTCTATTTATTATATATTTAGGTACGAGCCCGATAAATTATCTATACGTTTAACTCGTTCAAATCGATGACATTCTCGCATTATCGCATACAGCTTTTTTCGTTGGATAAACAAGATACAATATTATTATAATCGGATAAGTGTAACCGGATTGAGTGTTGAATAATCTCTACACTCTTTCCATTAATTCGGTGAAAACATAATTTTTTTACATCATTTGTTTATTTTTCAACAAATTTATTCAATGATAAAAAAAATTAATTTTTGGGCTCTTAAAATGTAAAGACATTTAACACGAAAAATTAGAAACGTCAAACGATGTACTTCATATTTATATTAAGTATATAACTGTTAAATTATAATGTTTTGACTGAATATGTAATAATTACGGATTATATTGTTTTTATTAACTATATATGAATGAAAATTGTTCGTTAACTAAAATAATATAATAAAAAAAATGTAATACGTGAAATTGGTCAGTTTTTAATTTTATTTGCTTAACTCTGTATTTTTTTTTTTTTTTTAATTAAGAAAATTTTTTTATAATTAAGATAATTTTAGGTGTGCAATATGTACTGAAAATATAATACCTACTTATGTGTAAATGATATAATATTTAGATACGAAGTATTTTCATAATTATTGTTACAGTAATAAGAATATATAAATTAGGTGCATGTTTTGTAATAATATTTTTACTATGCTGTCTTCTAAACGATATA